ACTGATACACCAGAAAAAATTATCAACTTTTTTGCAACGCCAACAAGACAAAGTATTTGGCATGTTGAGATTAGGGCATCTCCATCAATGCAGACAGAGAGTTTGTATTGCATGGTTTCAGATCGGGTAACATTATTATCAAATCATCGCTTTGCTATTCATTGTGAAGTTTGTTGCTCTGGTGCCTCTGTCTAATATATAATGTCTCACAGATTTTTGGCAGGCCCAAAAAGTCTGTGGCAGCCTGGAGACCAGATTCTGTATAGTGAAGTATGAGATGCTTGAGACCCCCTGTCTGAAAATGCTTGTTCCTATCAGTCTTTGTAGTTCACACACCAAAAATAGATCAATATGCATTAATACACACAGTGGAAACCATCTCTGCAGAGGTTATTATCTACAGTCTTCCTTGTTTTCTTTGTTGGGGGCTACCGCCAATCAGCATCAAGAAAAATAAATGCAGCTCCTGGATTGGCTGCTTTGCAAATACCAGTCAAAAGCATTTGAAGCAGCATTGCGCCGAGCTATTCGAGCCAGAAATGTGCTACCAAAAAGGACTGTGTATAGGTAAAGTTGCTGCAGTCCAGTGAGGATTTCACTTTTTATTTGAATTGTCCATCATAAAGCAGTTTCCCATCCTTTTCAATTTTTGTATTGTATATGAAAGATTTTATGCATCCAAATACCATTAGAATAACACTGCACAGAAGCTCTTTTTTCTAGTTCTACTCTTCTTTGAACCCCCTGTCCCGCTGTGAATGACCCGTCATCAAACAGTAGCAATGTGGATGCAATTATGACTCCTAGGTCAGTTTGTCTCTTTAAGGTTTAAGTGGGCTGGAGCGTTTCATGATTACAGACCTTGCTGTGTGTTTAAGGCCCGGACGTTTGTGATTCTGGGGTTGCCTCTGACTCTTTCTAAAAACTTGCAAAGCTGCTCTCTAAACTCAGTGCAAGTGCTGTTTGAACTGTTTTACTGTTGTTTATCCTAAAATCTTACAGCCTTTATTATCCACTCTCCACTGATCACAACTCCTTTAAACTTTCCTTTCAAACCTCTAAATTAGCACAACATTGTTTAAACAAAAAGTGCAATTGTGTGTTATTTTTTTTTATCTCAACAAACTGTAACCAAATTATGCAATGATACTAAAATATTTTGCCATCTTTTAAATGATCATTACAGCATTCACTCTACAAGATAATGTCAGTACTTTTAAAATCTATCCATTTGCATGACTTGTACTTGGATGATATAACAATATTTAATTTCCCATAGGAATAATGAAGTATTGTTGACTTAAACCAAATTGATCAAATGGATCTTGAAAGTGTAAAAATAAATCTTAACATGTCAGATTGTTGGGTCTATGTATTCTGTACAATCAAAATAAACATATTAGCTAAGCTGGGTGCAGATCTTAGGATTATTTGCCTACTTAGACAAAATCTTCTGCAAAAGAAAATCCCTCCTCATGAGCATGAATTGGTGGTTTTTGGTTGCTAGTGCAAGTGATGCACCAACTAGTGATTTAACTCTCTCCTGAACAAAGATGACAACAAAGATCAAACAGTGTTCAACATCTTGGGGGGGTAAAAATCATTCTCTGTGATGGCTGCTGTGATCATCTTCTGATTCTTGTCCTCATTTGTCCAGCTAAGAGAGCTTCTCCTTTCCTCCATCCACCTCTTAAACTTTTTGAAGTATAAGCTTTATATTTAGCTAATTCACATGAGAAACGTGACGTCCACTCATTGCTGAATCTCTGATGTAAATCCACCACAGCAGCAAATCACTATGTCTGACATCTTCTACTATAGTGTAAGAGGAGCCATTGAGACTTTTATCTACAACTTTATAACACAGACCTGAAGGTTTGGGGTCAAAACTGGTAGTGTGGTATTTATAGTTGTTTGGTATATCATCCTGTTCTACAAAATATCTGATTTAATTGGAAGAAAATTTATCCCACAGCATTATGTTGCTACTGCCATGCTTTACTGTCATGAAGTGATGTTCTTTTGGTGATGTGCTACATCATTGTTAACAAAGTTCTTGGAGATTTTAACCAGGACTGGATTCTTTCTTTAAAACTTTAGAATTTCTTAGTAAATCCCCTCTCTATTTTGAGAGATTGTTACATGTAGAAACCATCCAGTACAATGAGATACATGAATAAGTTCAGGTAAATCCATGCAGTACGATTAAAAACAAGAATGCCATCAAGAAAAGAAAAACAAACCGTGCTTCAACAACCCATCACTTTAAGGATGTGGACATATATGCAAGCAGATTATTGAAGCTTTTTGTATTTTTTTTCTATTTCTTTTCTAAAAATTATTTTTTTTATTTTTCAGTTTAATTATATATTAGCAAAACAAATCATATAAACAAAGAATTTTGAGAAATTTTTACTTGCCAATTTGCCATCGTAAGGCTAGTATGTACACTTCTGAGAGTCACTCTATATACTTCAACTGATGGTGAAATAAAGATATCCAAACAGGAGCTACAATGTACCTGTAAATGTCATTTAAGTAACAAATATATCTTTTAACTGACACTTTGTTAAGATCTGGTAGTTGTGCCCCGACCCAGAAACCTCAGCAGATTTGAATGAATAAAACAGATAGAACCAAAGAAACCAGTGGCATAATTATACCAAGAATGTTAAAAAAAAATTGTCATAGTAAGATTTTAAGTAGGTCAGGTATTAAACATGTGACCTTCTCCCACTTTCTCTGAACTCACTTCATGAGGAACTGCACGGTTATTCATAAATTATCATTGTGAAAGGGTGTATTTTGTACTTCATGCCTGCTCGTGATATTGCTGCAAGCCATTTGTTATCAAGAAGAACATCTAGCACATTTGTTGGGAACATGCAGAACTTTTCAAAATTTTGTTTTTGGCACAATGAGAAGGAAAATAAAAATGTATCAGTAGTTCATTGACAGGCAAGGGCAGTACTTCTCTACAAGCCTCTGAGCTTTGTTGCTTAGAATATATTTAGTGCCCGACATTTGTGTGTGTGTGTGTATTTGTGTGAGTGTGTGTCTGTTGATAGGGGCGGCAGCAGTAGCATCTGTCAGTACTCTGGGTGGCCTGGTGTTCCTGTTGGTAATTGGATCTTAAAGTTTTGGACTGGTGCTGACTGATAAACACCCACCAACACACATATGTGTACACATTACAAAAATGGACATGGCTCTTGTAGGACTTGTTTCTGTTTGTTTACATCTGTGCACCAAATGAAATGAATGAGGTTATATTTATGCACCAAGATCCTGAGTTGAGTCACCTAAAATTATTTTCAAGCATTGTGATAGTTTGTTTGTGTGTCAAAGTGTAGTTTAACCAGCTTTATCAGAGCCTTCTGCACACATATGATGAACACCGACTGTGTCTGGCATCCTCTTAAACCGTTAAAGTGAAAATATGTAAATACCACAAAGCCCTTATGTGTGCAATGCTGTTACATGAGGGTCATCCCTGGAGTCATTACTTCATGCCAAACGATGAATAATGACAGTGCTGTCTGTTTGGGTAACACCTGCATCCACTGTGTTATTTGATATCAGTAGGTTTAACCACATACTCGGAGTCAGACCACCTGGATTTCCTACTGGGGAGCTGTCTATTTCTGTAATGGTTTCTAAGGCATTAAGCATATATAGGACCTTGGAGAAAAAAGAAAAAAAAAAAATCATACAGTGCATGCGCTGCCTTATAAAAAAAAGTATGTGTACCTGTTGAACTTTTTCACATTTTCTGATTTTACTATTATAACCTTCAATTTATTTATTTATGTAGTTACATTCTATGTGCTAGATAACTATAAGGAAGTAAAGTGAAAAATATATGCATGTTTTTTTTCATGTTTTGAATTAAAATCAGAAACAATTAAGCATAAGCATTTTCCTATGAGGATTTCCATTCATGATGATATTCACAGTGTGATAATGATGATGTTCAGTTATGATTCATCTGCCAATAGCACATTCTTTACTGCATCTTGTTGTCCCTTACATGGGTTGTGGAAAACAATATTTTTTTCAGGATTACAATTTATGTATCTCCATTCATCAATCCAATATCCCTACTTCCAGGGCAACATACTCTATACTCATATATACTAAGATAATATAAGTGATATATTTAGTTTCCTTCCATGCAAAGTGTTTTGTATGTTCTCCAGAAAGTTAAATATTGGTCATATCTGACCAGAACACCTGCTTCCACATATTTGCTTTGTGACCTACATGGCTTGTGGCTTATTTTTTATCAAGTCATCTTCATAAATCCAGATTTTTGGAGTGCATGAGTAATCGTCAACAGATTCTTCCAGCTGACCTATAAATCTCTGCAACCTCTCCAGAGTTACCATAGGCAGCTGGAATACTTCTCTGATTCATGCTTTCCTAACTGAACTAGTAAGTCTGGGTGGGCAATCATGGCCTGGTAGATTTACAGTTGTGCCATACTCTTTCTATTGCTGGATTGAAAAGTGCTCTGTCAAATGTTCAAGCCTGGCCGTATTGGTTTCTGACCTAACAGCTTTAATCTTCTCCTAAACTTCATCCCGAGATATATTATTTGCTATGTGTGAGGTATTCAAATATCACGTACAGCCTGTTTATACAGAAAATTTGTTACACACATTTGGACTTATTTATTAAGTAGGTGACAATTTAGTCAACCTTAATTTTATTTAGGAGTATCAGGATGAAAATAATTGCTACATGTCAAAAATTTGTATTTGCAAAGTGAACATTCTGTATAGCTGTTCCATCACCTGATATTCATGCGCAGCTTTGCATTGCTCTGTCACATAAACCTCCAATAAAAAAACATTTGCATTTATTTACTAGTGCCTAAAACTTTAAAAGCCAAAATCATTGAAGAAAATCATTAATCAACCTTATTCTTGTTCTTCCTATCTCCTCTTTTTCTCCCTCCTCCCCATTTCCTCTTCCTGTCGACCTCTGTTGTCTTCCAGGTGGTGCTCGACAACATGCGAAGGAAATGCAAGTGCCACGGGACGTCAGGGAGCTGCCAGCTCAAGACTTGCTGGCAGGTCACTCCAGAGTTTCGGTTGGTGGGTTCAATCCTAAAAGAACGTTTCCACATTGCCACCCTTATCAAGGCTCAAAACAGGAATAACGGCCAGCTGGACCATTCGAACCATAACAACCACAACAACCACAACCACCATCACAGTCATCGAGAGAACCACCACTCACATCGCCGGCGGCTTAACATCAGGGAGCTAGTGTATTTTGAGAAGTCGCCTGATTTCTGTGACCGGGACCTTAGCTCAGACTCGGCGGGCACACAGGGCCGGATCTGCAACAAGACCAGCCCGGGGATGGACAACTGTGAGAGCCTGTGCTGCGGGAGGGGGCACAACATTCTGCAGCAGACGCGTAGCGAACGCTGCAACTGCAAGTTCCACTGGTGCTGCTATGTGGTCTGTGAAGAGTGCAGGATAACAGAGTGGGTCAGCGTTTGCAAATGAAGAAAAACACACTAAAAGTCACCAAACATAAGAATTAAAAGACAGACAAATGCCCCAATGTTTTTTGTCATGGACTGCAGTTTTTTTTGTTGCAGAGAAGTCCTGGAAGGACAGTGTGACGCATTTGATGCGGCAAACGGAAACCTGTGTTGGTCGGTGTAGAGCGTGCACATGCAGGAGGTGCCTGAAGCTGCCACACACCACCCTTCTTTGGAGACTATGGAACACAGTCGTAGTCTCAACCTTACTAAGCAAAGAGGATTGCTTCAGAAAGAAAGTAAAATTTCTTCTTAGCTTTATTGGTATAAGATCTATTTGAAATTCTGATTTGCTTTGTATATTTTAAACAATTCATACACTAAGCAGCGCAATCAGCAACTGATGACATTGCTTGAATCCAGCCATTTTCATGTCGCTTGACCACTAACTATACACACAAGTGTAGAAATTTAACAGATTTACTTCAAAACAACAAATAATATTTCAGCACTTGTGGATTTTGTGCCTTCTTGAAGGGCAGTTAAGGAGTTTCGATATTTATTTATAGCAGCTGTCATGTTGCACATAAGACAGAGCAGGTTTAACTGATACTTTGTAAATCCTCCCATCAATGTTGTTATGTTGTGTGTAATAAAGTATAACCCTGAAAACAACTATGTCATCCCTCAAAGAACACGTGTCCTAATCATAGTAATGAAAGAGAAGATCTAGGTCTAAAATCAACTTCCAGAATGGACTGAGCTTTTTACATGTCTGCAGCCATGACAACTGACAGGCTGAAGGTAAAGTCAACCAAAAGACAGCATGTTGCTTTATGGGATTCCTCATGGCACACCTTCACCTTCTTCAAAGGGAAGAAATAAAATTAACTTCCAAGTACCACTTCTAAACACTAAGTGTGTGGACCCACTTAAACAATAACCACAGACACAAATTTGTGCCACTGTTTTCAGACCACCAAATAACACAGCACAGATATGCAGTTCTGCAGTGTGTCGTGTGTGGTCTGTGTGATGTGATACGTGATGTACGAAGATGGTCAGAATGCACATTAAACCCAGCAAGTCCACATTTTATCTTTGACGTGATCTAAACAGCACTGTAAATAAAAAAAAAAGAGTAATGCTGCAGAAATGCCATCAATGATGTTCAAGTGTGTCAAGAAATTGAGCGCACACGAACGAGCTCCAGTTGCACACACACTATGAACATCCCTAAGTGAGATCAGGCAAAGTCTTCCTGTCTTGTGATGCAGTGTCTTGTGTGCAACACTGTAAGCTTCTTGTTGTATGTACACTCACTCGCTTCACAAATTATCAGTGTGTACTATAAGGATATCCTGATGTCAGCTGCAAAGTATATATAAGGAACAGTTTAAGTAAGCTACTTATCAGATGGTGTAATTTATTTAAAGCAATTTATTTTCTGTGTTTAAAACAGAAAAACGGAAACCTGGGATTGTGGAACCAGTATAACTGATAAGTAGTTTGCACATACTAAACAGTGTCCAGCAGAACTTTGAAAGATGTCAGCATTATGTATTCTAAGTGTTAAATGTAATGTATGTTTGTATTTTTTCTGTTTTAATATGGTTATTATCTAAGTTATTTTATTTTTGTGGATAACTTAATATTTGTAAGACAATAAAAACAGACTGTTCATGAAAGAGGCTTCATTGTGATCAGTGACGACATGAATTTGTCATACTATATTACAAAAGGTGCAGCTATTTACAGCACGCTATGATTTATGTTTTTTTACTAATATTTTCAGTTTTTCAAGACAACCATACTCAAGCATTTTTTATTTTCTAATTTAGGTTTAAGATATGTTTGATATATGCAGCATTTCAATAAAAACTCACGGTAACATAATAACTTGGTTGTGATTTAAGATGGCTGAATGTTTAGAAATACACACCATCCTTTAAAATGTATACATTTTTATTTATTTGTCATTATTTTGAAGAAAACTGATTTAACTTTGACATTAAATTTTGTAAAGGCTATGAAAGGGTAAAACATCCAAGGGGGTCAATGCTTTCTAATGGGAATACATCTCACTGAATTAAGACCACTCTTAAAGAAACACCGTTGTCTGAATAATTGGGTTGCAAAAACGTAAAGATGACACAGGTATTCAAAGGTAAAGGCAGCCCTAATTTGAATCTATTTAATCTGAACATTACAGACATAAAAATGCTGAAAAATGTTCCCACTTTATATAATTTAGAACCACTATTACAAATTCTTGTCACAAATGACTCATGCATTTAGCTGTGAGTTTTGGATATTTCTAGGTGTCACATGGCTCACCTTGGCGTTTCTTATTATCATCAAAGTTTTTCTTCTACTTGGTAAGAAACCTAGAAAATCCATCAAGTGTTATTTTTGCTGCTGATTGACGCTATAAATTTGGTAGAGAAAGGTTAAGCTTTAACTTCAAAATAAAGGTCTTTATTTACAAGGTTCATATATTTATTTTTTTAACTTTACGGTGGCCCAGAAAAGTGAACCAAATGCAAATATCACAACACAACAGCAAAAGCCACAAAGTATATTTAAACTGAATAATAAACTTGCTATGATAAGTTTCCATTTTAGCATAACTTTTTGTTGTTGTGTTGTGACTTTTGCATTTTGTTTATCATTCAGTGGCAACATACTAACAAGTTCTATCACGTACTGAGCTCTAAATGCAAGACTTCATTCATGTTTTCTTACTATTGCTGCTAGAGTTATTGACAAAATACTCTAACCTCCTGGATGAATGCAGTGTGTATATTACTGGAAATATTCCACAGTACATTGTGGCTAAGGGTAAGCTCCGCCAAGTTATGTTACTCTCACTGAGAGACCAAAATGACAACAAAAAAGACAATATTTCATTCAGTTTGCCTCTCTGTTGTAATTATAGTTATTGCAGCAATTACTCCTGACTTTGCTTGACCTGAATGTTTTGTTAGGAGTCTTTGGATATACCCAGACCAGATAAGACCACACGTTTGTGGTCAAGTGCAGACCCTCCCTTACCAGTTGCTGCTTGCGTGCAGAGAGAAATCCTGTTGAGTGTTCTGACTTACTTGTGTATTCTGTGCCTCAAGGGATGTGATGAAGTCACCAAGTGATGTGTAAAAATGCAAGAGATACACTTTTAAAGTAAACAGATGTGAAGTAAAATGTGCTATTCTGGACTCATGCGAATCTATTCTTATCCAAATATCCAGCTGCTCTCTGATGCACCATATGGACGCTGGATTCAACATGCACACTTCATCCTTAAGTGCGCTGATCCAAGTGAAAATGCTCTTAACAGCCCTCTCTTTGCATATAAATAGTTTATGTGTGAATGTGTGCTCGGAGTTATGCTGTGTGTGTGAATTGCACGTGCGTGTTTGTTTATGCAGCCATGTCTGTTTCTTTTGGCGGACACATGCGTTTAAGTGACAGAGTGGGCGTATGCACGGTAGTATTATGTTTTCACAATGGCCTGAAACCAAGGTTGAGCAACCTGCTGAGATTGCTGTATGTGTTATTTAACCAGTAGGCTTCACTGGCTGCCAACTGCAAGTTCAAATGGTACTGGACAAAACCTGAAGCTCTTCACCTCGTGCTTTCTGCCCTGATGTTTTGATTTTAAATAGAAAAAAACAAAAACAAAGAGAAAACCCTCATATGTCTTAAAGACTTGCTAAATTTCTAATCCCTAAAAGTAATTATCACATATTAAATTACTTGAAAGAAAAAAAAAAAAAAAGAAACATTAATCTTCATGAGAATGGTTCTTGCCTGTGAATGTGAGCAACACCAGGTCTGAACTTGTGTGCTAAGTTTATTTGAACAGTGACTGCTATTTTGATAGAAAACAGGTCACGAGTGACAGAAGATTTGGACTGAAACAACATCATGCTGGTAAGTTTGGTTTATTTTGTTGTGACATGAACAAGCATGTCTGAATCACTTGTTAAATATGCTTTAATGTTTTCAATGTAAAGGTCAGAGCGTGGCTCAATGATGCCCAAGTGGACTTACATATAATCGCAGATGATACTTATTGTTAATCACACTGTTTCATAAGCCTTTGGTTTATAAGAGAGAAATAAAAGAAGTAAGGAAGGTAAAGCAAAGATGTACACACCATTTCTATAATTTAACATACAGGTCATGTAAGCTGACCAAGACACTACCTTAGCAGAATGCGTTAATGTGATCTGGATCCTAGTGACACCTTTTCATTGAATTAGACCTGGGATTCCCACATCCATCTTTCAGTTTTGCTGACAAAGAAAATCTTAGAACAAAAGCTGTTCAAACTGATCTGTGACAGGGATGGAACAGCTGGTTTGTCTGGCCTAGGTTGTCAGCTGTTTTGCACTTTGAATGACTAGAAATGCAATTAAAACAAATAAAAAAATACTTCTAAATAAGTTTGCCAAAATACTCTGAGCAGAAAACTGGGTAACACTTTATTTGAAGGGGGTTGAATAACATTACTGTTTAAACTTTACCTTTAATAACATAAAGATACTTATTTTTTAAATTGCAATCAGTAATAATTTTATAACAAATTTATATCAGCAATGATTTCTTGGTTAATGTCAAGTTGTCATAATTTACCGAATGACACTTTATGACAGCAGTCATAAATATTCATGAAGGCTTATTCATGTTCATGACAGGTGTTTATGACAGTGTCATGTCAGTCTTATTCAACCCCCTTCAAATAAAGTGTTACCGAAAACTGTATGGGAAAATAAAATTAGCTGGAAATTCATACAAAATTAAGACAACAAAGTCATAATTTTGGGTGTAAACAGTCTGTTATCGATGTAAAAACGGGTGTGCAGGAGGACACTGAGCCATTCCCAGAAACCCACATTATCAAAATGTTCTAAAATGAGCAACATTTTGGTCACAGTCCCTTTATAAGTGTTATTATTATTTTTTTACATGTTAAAAATAAGAAAATAGTGACAGATGAGAGATGTAAAGGTGCATGATTATAGAAAACAAATTTCAAGCTAAAAATCCAAGTTTAAGGTTTGTCACATATCATTAATGCTCACTTCAGAGTTCAGCACAACAATTTCTATTTGTTTATCAAATTAATCAGCATTCAAATTTGCCCGTCGATTTATTATGTCGTCAATTACAATTGGATGTTCGTGATGACATCATCATATTTGTAACACCATTAGCAGGAGCCTAATGGGCTCTTAATTTTGCAACTTTGTTAAATATGTTTAAGTGCTAGTTGATCTCTTCTAAAATATTTCAATTTTTTTTTTTTTCATTAAAACTTGGGCTTTCATTTCCATTCATAAGAAGACATGCCCAGCTAGAGCAAATTCTGCAGGAGGATTCGTACACTTCAACAGAAGGCATCACAAGGTAAAAATGCTATGTAGAAATATTAAAGCAACATTTAAAGACATCAGGCAGGAAATTAAAGCTTGGGTACATATTGGTCTTCCAAATGGACAATGGCTCTAAGCATGCAGCCAGAGCTGCTACAAAGTGGCTTAAAGACAAGACAGTTGGCATGACCATCTTACCCTGATCTCAATCCAAAGAAGTTGTGATTAGTTCTAAAAAGGTGTGTGTGGCAATCCAAACCTGACTGACTTATACTAGTTCTGACAGGAGGAATGGACCAGAACTCAAAGTGAAACAATTTAAAAGATGATTATCCCCGTTACAGACCAAATGTATGTAAACTTCTGAATTCAAATAAAGTTACAAAAATTCTCTAAAAAATGTGCTCACTAAGTTTTCTGGCATTTAGCGGAGATTTAATTTGGATAATTGACTAACTTAAAACAAAAAAGTTTGCTCTGATTTAACTTAAGTCAGTGAGAAAAAAAAAGTTTGTCTTTTTATTTGGTGTATATAAATATCTGGTTTCAACCATATATAGACCAACAAAACCAGAATTACACTTCACAATGGAGTGTGAACAATAACAATCTACCACAAAGTGTGAATCATCTCTCCATTGACTTGGTGCATTCATATGGAGTGCCAGTACATCTAATTGCCTTATGCATTATCAGAGAGCACCCCTGAAAAGTTGAGCATGCACAAAACTTTCAGGGTGCGATTAGAGTGGTTTCGAACAGCAGCTGGAGTACATCTGAATTTAGGTCAGGGTCAATCACCTACTTGCTGCTTAAAATGCATCTTATGGTAAAGTTTAGCGCATGTTAGTCCCTGATCGTCAATAGGCCATATCAGATTATGGCTGACCAAGCTATGGTTGGATTAGAGAAGAACAATCAACTTCAGTACCAACCTTTTAAAGTTCAATCTTCAAAGTTATCTACTATTAAGTGAGCTCAGTTGACTAATGACGGCTAAGTATGTTTTCTGGATGATCAATCTCTATACTATGCTATATTATTTTCTGAAAAGTAAAAGGTAAGCTCTGTCTCCAATAGTTTCTTTATATTGTTTTCAAAAATTTGGTCTCAAGACGGCCTTGGTTTAAAATAACTAATTCGTTTTTTGTTTTTTTGTTTTTTTTTACCTTGTGGGATTTTGCTGCGATCTAAATGTGATGTGACAGGAACAGAGAACATGCAAGGTACATCTACATGATCTCATAGGGCCCCTCTTGTATACAGTCCTTTCAGGTTCTTTACAAATACTTGATCTGCGCTAACACTGCAGTTTGATCTGTGTTATTTATTCATGATCTTTTCCACCAGGGAGGGATCGAAGAGGAAACATGGATCATTTTTAGTGAGCTTTTTCCTCCATCAATTTTTGACGAGGGTAGCCATGGAGTACATGCTTTTAACACCATTTGCAACATATTCCGCTCGACCTAAACTGACTCTTGCTCCGCTGGATTTGAGTTCCACTTTCTCGAAGCCTGACAGGGAGCGAGATGGTGTTGAGAAACGTTATGGTCCCGCTGACGAATTCACTTTAACTCAAGCCTCACACACATACACACTCTACATGCTTGTCATTGTCAGCTTGGAAGATAGGGAGTGACACGAGGAGGAATTATTGTAAAATATTGATCAGCAGGGGTCAACCATTTCCTCACAAGAGGTGCTATTTGAGGAAAAAAGACAAACCTCTATGGTCCAACGGTTTTCCCTAGAAAGAACCTCGAGATGCTCTAAAACCAGCTGAAATGTAACACTTTTCGATTGAGAAAATTTGAAGATATCACTTTGCTTGGTTGATTCCAAATCAGAAACTAAATACTAACTGACGATGTTGTAGACATTTCAATAAACAAATAAGGGGACATTAAGACAACTTTGAGAAGTGACTTTCCAAAAATTCACTTTCAAGTAATCTTTTACACAGTCAAAATCAAAGTTTTTTTTTTTTGTTTGTTTTTTAAGTATTTGTCATCTAAAAATGTTCTGATCTTTATTTGCCCAGTTCTTTTTTCTTGTCCTAAAAAACATCACAATATTGAACAGTGAAGTGCAGGCAGGTTACCTGAGTTAACTATCCTGGTAATATCAGCTGGTATTACTCACTGAGTTTATTCATAAGGAGCATAACTGCATTCAGTTTAAATACATCTGACTATAGTAAGTAAAATAAAATAGAGAAACTAAGATAAACTCAGTAGTTCCTAAAATGGTGTCAGTCTGTCCACTGCAGAAACAATTAACTGATAACAGCCTCTTTTCACTCAGACAACAAATACCTCAATTTCTAAAACTATTCCAATAACCTGAGAGATTGAGCACCGAAGTCAAAAAACATCTGAGAATGTTTGATATCTTGATTGTTGCCCTCTGACAAAGGACTCAACTTAATGTGCCATTGGTTAGTCTTTTATCTCTACATTCTTTCCTACTCTGTCATACATTCTCCAATTTTCCTGAAAATGCTTCTAAACCCACCATTTTGACCTCAACACAAAGAGTTCACCCTTTCTGAAGAACATTAAAAAACAGATATTTTTTTATGAAGAAATATGCATTAAAATTCCTATATTCAGTCAATAGAGTTCCACTATTTTGAAGCGTTCTCCATTAAGTTTTTTTTTTTTTTGCCAAAAAAACTTCAAGAATAAGTCAAATCACAAGACGCAAAAAACAAAACAAACAAAAAAACATATTTAAGGGGAAATATGAAGTAATTTTGAATTAAATGGTTTGGCTCTGTTTTAGGGCATGTTGAGCCTATTCTACCGTACAAAAACACTTTAATAAAAATTTATATTCTAATTATCTAGATTAACTTGCACAGTCAACTTCTAAGTTGGTGTTGATTTTAGGCATGTCAGTACTTCCATTAGGAAACAAGGGAGGAAGTAGCAAACCGCTGTCAGGACACAGTCCTTTAACACCTAATATTTGAGCAAGCAGCATTTTAGTGATCTCATTTTAAACTTCACTATAGTCATTTATTTTTTTTGTAATCTCAGAGCAAATATATATAATTTACTTTATGTATAATTGCAGAGTAGGCAGAAAATATCATCCACATTTCACAGATTTATGAGTAGGTTTTCTACGAGCTCAACCAAAATGTCTGCCATCTTAAATATATCTTAACTCTTTACTCTCAGCATGTCGTATCTGCCCTCTCCTTTATAAGCTTGTTGGCTTTTAGGTTTTAATCAGTTATCTGCCCCAAACAAGTAAAAACTGCTGCCTCGTCCGCCAAACTGTCAAACTTCTAAGACAGTGAAATTAGTAATTCCAGCATTAATAACATATTGTGGGACAAGTAACGGTACCCTTTAATCTAAAACTGTTCAGCGGGCTGATTTATGTCCTCTCCACTTCCTACCTTCTTTTTTTATCTAACTGACCCATGACAGACTGCAACCCACAGTCTTCTTCAACCCGACCAGGCTTTAATCATCAAGGGGTGTGTATGGGTCTGAGAGATCTGAAAACCAGTGATGACCCAAATATTTTTGTAAATTTTTTGTTGATATTTCTGTAATTATATGATGACAGATTGAGCACAGAAAATTATGATTTTGTTACTGGAGAGTTGGTGGTTCATCCTGATTCTACAAAAACAACAGAGAGAGAGAGAGAGAGAGAGAGAGAGAGAGAAAGGTTCGGATGTTTACTGGCAGACCAGGACTGCTTAGTGTCATTTGGGATTTATGAGTATGGAGTCACATTTATGCAATATCAAATTTAGTCTGGAAATACTAAAATATTATTTTCTTTTTTTGTCCTAAAGCGTACTAAGAGCCCAACACTTGACTAGATTAAATGAAACTTGCATATGTAAGAAAAAACATTAGATGTGCATACGCTTTTGGCTTCATTGAGATGATCAGGATAAATTAATATGGTAAATTGACTGAACTTATTAATTGTTTTCTACAAATTTTGGTCAAATGGTGCCTACCATATGTCTGAAATTACCTATCAGTCACTTGAATTTATGACTGAAATATTTTCACTCTTAGATTATTTATTTTAATAACTTATCAGGAAGCAAATTAGAAGAAAAACATCAAATCATCCACAAAAGAAAACTAAGCTCAAATAAACTCATGAGATCAGTGATAAACAGTTCAAAAAATGAAAGGATAAAAACAACACCACTGAATTCAGGTGTAACAGTCCAACTGGCAAAGGGCCTAAAAATACAAAATGAAAAAATGCCTGTTAGCAAGCTTTTTACTGGTAAAATTACAGTAGCTCTACAAAGGCCACATTTTTGCAAGTTGCCCTGACAGCTATGAATCAGTGTTTTTATGTGATCTTTAGTGAAAGTGTCCTTGGGTAAGACAAGGAGCCCTCACATTGCCAGTGATATGCACACCAGTGTTTGAAGAATACACAACAGTGCAGATGAGAGACAATACTGGTGTTTCGTTTAAGGGAAATTACTCTGAAATCATTTTCACAACATGGGTTGGTATGAAAGACATTTACCATATATGTATGCTATTAGTTTTTTCACAGAACTTGTTAGAAAGTAAACTATGAGACAAAAAAAATAATACATTTATTATTATTTTCATTTCAGAGCTTACTTTTTTCAGATGCCAACATTTTAAAGTCCTTCCTTTGTGCTGGAGGTATTAAATGTCTTATTTGTAGGAGGTTAAGTGAGAGAGAGAGTTGGGACAGTGTCAAAGAATGGGTGTGAGAGATGATGATGAGATTAAGGTTAATCAGTAGCAAGTTATTTGTGCAAAAGAAGAGAAAAAAAAACATATCCCTAGGCCATCTCTGCTAAATTACCTCGAGTTCACTGCACATGCTGTCTTTGTACAGACCTGCCAGGTTGATCTCACCCCTCATTCCTCACATTTTTCCTTCCTCTGTTCTCTCCTGTCCAGCGCTCCTTTCTTTTCCCCAATGATCCCAGAGGGCAATGCCGTAGACTGACAACACTGGCAGCTACGCAAAGAAAATTTACATCTCCTGGCCTGTGTACTGAGCTCATGCATACATGTTCACATGTGCAGGGTCCTTGTGGATGACCTAATTATTGACAGAAGCTGACTTAATGTCATGTCTTTCTGCAGTCTTTTAATGGAAAATAGAATTCCAGGAATATTTTGCATAAAAACACATAAAACGCCATAACATTTTCATGTTAAAAGATAAAATTGTTACCTAATGAAAACATAAATTTGTCTTTATTCCATGTGTTTAACTTAGTGGAGACTGTAAGGTATGCTAACTAAAACTTTCACCTTCTGTTCTGTGCAGGTGTGACTGGGGCCACAGCTCCTATTTTGTCTGAAAGCTCACACACCTCCATCACCTGAACCCTCAGGTGCTGTTTTCCGCTTTTACCATAACTCAGAACTGATTTACTGGCCCAGTTCTTTAAAATTGACACATTTTCACAAAAAACGCTCAGAATGCAACGATTCGCCTTCCCCCGTGCATTGTACCAATTTTAATGTGACAGACAGAGGTGATCCAGTTCAGATGAGACTTAGAATTAGTGATGTGGACAGATTTGGACATGCAAAGAGAGGAGTGCCAAGTCGCTAATGCTACAGTGTTCTAACCTGCCCCATGCTGAAGGCAGGAGTGTGAGTGGGAAGATGCATATGTATGTGTATGTACATGCATTGACATTTTTTTTAAGTATGTACAGAATTTCCACAGAGGTGACCAAGTTAAAGAAGCCTGTGCCACAAG